AACATCAGGCTTCACAGAGGGGGGGGGGGGAATAGAAGAGTGTTTCAAAGATGTAAAAGAAACAGACACAAAGGTAGAAATAAAGGTGAGGTTATAAATGTGGATTCAGTGGGGTGATGGTAGTTAGAAGCCAGAAGTCTACTGTCGGTTAATAGACTTTTTTGCCGTGTGAGCATACGTTGCCCAGAGTGCACCACGTGGAGGTAAGTCTATTGCACACCCCGCTATATGAAACATTATAAATTCAATTTGTATATATAATTCATTGAATTATTGTTTTGTATTCAAACATTCCAGATATCCAAGAGTGTTTAAAAGAATTCAGGGCCATGGAAATAGAAGCTGAAAACCATAATACCTCTGGATCTATGGATAAACTGCTTGAAACACAAGAAATTAAGGAATTTTCCACGTCTCATATTCCCAAAAGAATTGCGATTGCACTTAATGCAGACACAGTAAATTCCACAAGTCATTAATTTTTTATCTCTTCCTTAAGGAGAGGCTGAATAATTCGGGGCTAAAAATTTACAATCCATTTCTCGATGGAATTTCTGATCTGCATGAAAAGGATCTTTATTATTCTGCTAGTCAAAATGTTTGACAGTCTTCATATTTAATTTGTCCCTTTTAGAAAGAACATTTATCGATTACCAAGGAAAAAGTAACTACTAATGTTGATATGTACACGAAGAAACCATATGAAAATTCTAATCTAGTTAGTTTCTTTGTAACCTCTCTTTTCTCATGACGTTTTTTAAATTCTATTATTAACGTTTTGGTAGACCACGAGGAAAATGGATATAAATAAATCGCATTCCTTTTATATTCCCTATATTGAAAAATACGCTTTGAATGGACAAACAAAACAGAAGAAAAACTTACTGTATGCTAAGGTAATAACACAGCCTAGTTAATCAGTTTTATAAATGCATAATTAATTAATTTTCGTTTATTTCCAGCTTCAAGATTCAATCGAGAATGGAAATACGAGTGACTAACTCCGCTTGCACTTTGTTTTAGTCATAATTTTAAATAATGCTTTCAATTAATATCTTTAGACGTTTAAAATATAATTAGGTTACGAAATCCTTGCCTGTGTTTGAATTGGAATAAATTATTCCAGTATATGCTGTGGCTTTCTCTAGTATTTAGCAATGAATTAGAAGCTACCTCCAAAATTGCCTCATTGAAGCAAAACTCTTTTTGTAATCAAAATTAGCAAAACAGTTCAGGTGGAGGGAAAAATATAAAACGGGAAGGAAACTAGAAAAAGAAGAGGATTACGGAGGAAGGGCATTAAACGTTGTCCTTTTTTAAAAGTATGGTTACATGTATGGTTATGTGTCACACTTTGTGATCCGGTTGAGATTATTTACTCAAAGTGTCAGCAATTTGATTCATTGCCGTTGTTATTAGTCTCTTAGGTTTTGTTATATCTTCATGTAGTCAAGAGGAGGCTTTTGAAAATAGCAATGACACCTTCACTTAACTAATAAAGACGTCTACTTATTCGGTTATAAGTAGCAACTGTAAAATAATAAAATAGAGAAGTTTGACGAACGTTATTCAAGATCTAGGTTTTCTACTACTTTACTTTCCTTTCGCCTACTGTTAGTTAGCTTAGTTAGCTTTCTCCAACAGCACAATATTGGTCTTGAAGTGGATGATTGATGCAAACTGCTCCCCATGTTGATTAGGAAGCTGTGTGCTCATCTGGGCTACTTTCTGTACCACGTTTAAATTCGTTTGAACTGAAACGATCTCGCACTTTGCGGTTAGTTGTGTGCTTACACCTCAGATCCACAATACAATCAGATAGTTTAAATGGTTAAACTTACAATGTCCCTGCTATTTAATTTTGCCCTTTCGCTATTAAATTTGAAATTAAATTACTAAAAGCTAGTTGAGAGAACAAACTTAGTATAACAAGATTTTTTCAAAGAGTTTTTTCCTTTACTGTACCTATTCCATTTAAATAGCCTTAACGTTTCCGTTTTAAATTCAAAATAACGAACCTTACATTTCCACTAAATTTAATCCAATTGCTCATATTTAAACCATATTTAAGATATGTTTGGAAGTTTTAATACTTAATACCAATGATACATAATGAACATATAAAGTATCTCCCACTATTTTACTGTTTCAAATGGTGATTATTCTAAATTACTCCATCTTTACCGACACTACTATTTATAATTACATTATTGTTATAATCCAAAAAATTACTTAAAAATGCAACGTGAAAAGCATTTAATCTGATATTTATCACATAAATTTCTTCTGTTTTGAAAGTACATTTTTAAAGAAGAAATTATTTGGCGGCTTTAAAAATTGTTCATCAGTTGAATTCTGAATTATCATGTTTAAGTAATCGGGGTGTGCGATAGATTTACCCCCACGTGGTGCACCCTGGGCAACATATACTCATACAGCAAGAAAGTCTATTAATCGGCAGTTGACTTCTGACTTCAAACTACCATCACCCCACTGTATGTCATATTCAACTACTTCCATTGTACTCACCTCACCTTTTTATCTGCCCTTGCATCTGTCTCTTTTGCATCTTTGAAACACTCTTCTGTTTCCTCCCCCCTCTCTCGAATTTTTTTCATTTTGATATTTCCTCTCCTCTGTGAGACCTGAAGTCACCTAAAGGACTAATGAAACTATCAAAATGTCTGCCATTTGATATAAAATAAATGTTTAAGTAACCCGTTTGGATGCTGCTGAAATTGGCTTTGTTTTAACTCTTGGCACCAAATAAGCCGTTACTGCTCGTGATTGAAAGAAGCTCAATTAACTCATTATGCGTTTATTCTTCTTTTTGGCGCTCGGTCGACGCGTGTCAGGAGAAGCGACCGAATATTGTTCTCACGTCTCTACTTACTAGTCACTGAACTTTATTTGGCGGCAAGATGAAAGCAAGTTATTTAAGCACTGTGTGCTACGTGCTCAAACCCCACGACACTTCCAAATTATTCCTTGCTCATCTTGCTCTAGTGGTGAGTAGTATCACCAGTAACGACTGAAAACGTGCGAAATTTTGACAGGAGGTGACTTTGATGTTGACCGGAAACCGATAGAGTTGTTTTTTTCTCTGCGTCCCGATGAGTGACGCTATGCTTTTGCATGTCGCTACATCATTTTCACTTCCTCGACAGTTCGAACATGGCATCCGAAGATAGTGATTGGATAATGATGCAGAGTAGTTACTAATAGAACCAGGAAGAGTGCGAGATGGACTGTAAGCGTTTGTAAAAATTAGTTAAAGCAATAATCCCCGTTCTAACTCCTTCTATTCCTATTAACTGACTTTGAGCTGTCATGGTCTCGCTGCTTCTATAGATTTTGTTTTCAATTGGGCGATTCAAACTCTCAAGTACAGAATACAGCTTGGGGCTTGTTGTGATAAATACAAACAGAATTCGCACACAAATCGATTAAGTGCAAGTAGGGGTTAGAAGGTCCTTCTATTAGTGATTTGTTTTAGTAGGTAGTGACCAATAAGCGTTGGTTTCGGTATCTAAGTGCTCTATTTACCCGGTTGTGAGTAATAAGGGGAGAATTTTATGAATTACTGTTCACTTCAATGGCTGCAGGTTTTACTCCTAGGGCAGCAATTGATAAAACGGTCTATTGAATAAGAATGCACAAAGAAGTGTGAATTTCAAGACCCTCTACTCTATAGACCGGAAACGTTTATTTCTCTACCTTCTCTTTAGAAGTAAAATTCGCCTTGTGTAAGCCAAATATTTCCCTTTTTCGTAACTTGATCTTTAAGTTTCTGGGTGACTTTATGACTACAATGCTTGGGTCTCATTAATGCAATTAGATGGCACTTGAATTTTAACAAAAGCTCACAAATTGATCCCAGCATTTACTTTTTGTTAATCTTCGCTAGTGCTAGTCCCACTCCCTCTCATTCTGTTTCCCACTATTATGCACAAAAATCGCTTATTTGCCTTACAAATAGGATTAAATCACTTAGATACGCCTAGAGTTCCTAATGTTCTTTAATGACATATTGATGCGTATTTGGATGGGAAAATTACCTGAGAGCAGGCGATCTTTTTATCTCACCGTGAGGTAGAGAAAATCTCAGCAAATGTGGGAAAATTGTCTCAAAATGAAACAGTAATCCCGAGGCAGCATCCTAACTCTATTTACGTATTAATCATAGAACCGCTTGTTATTAAGACAAAGATTAGTTTTCAATGATATATCAATAAAAATAATTTTAATAAATGAATTAATATATATATATATATATCAAAATGATTTTGATATAATTAACACCTACTTCATTTATTGATTACTACAACATTTTTTAAAATATTTGTAAACAAATTTAGTAAAAGTTTACTTTTGACAATAAATTTTAGTGTGTCAACAATTTAGGCAATTTCACACAATAATTTTTGACGATAATTTAGAATAATCTTCCCATCTTCTAATAAAAAGGGTTTAGCTAAAGTCATTAAGATGTAGTGCAACTCTCATTTAATTTCATTTTGCGTCAAAAATATAAGTGGATTAGGTGCGAGATTGATCGCATCATATTGGTTTGCAATCATATGACAGTAACTGGAATTCTCAGCAACTTTTCTCATGCCTATCTCTTTATTATATCATTCAAAATTGGAGCTCTAATGAGTGGCACTTTTAAATATGCCTTCTGCTTGCATTTATTTTTGAGTCTGACCTCATAGTGAAATTTTGATCAAAATCGATTTAACTGCAATGATTTTGCAGTGATTGTCCCAACGGCGCAGTAATTATCGGGCTCACCTGGAAAATTAGGTTTTGATATCGATTATTGTCAATTCCTAATCAGAGGTGTGGTTGGGAAGTCACTTTGGACAGATGAGGCCGTGTCAACACCTCTCCCATTTGATTTTTGAAGATTTTAACATGAGCGAACCCTCTTAAATCAGAATTAATTTTATTATGCAAATAGGTCACGAGGCGAAAGAAAGTACAATGGATGTAGACTCGGCAATATGTTTAGCTTCGGGAATGACATTTTTGACAATTTACAAAGTTATTTGAAATGAGTACGTAAGGGTGGGTGGATCATAAGCATTCAAACACTCCAATATTAGTAAAAACGGGGTGTGCGATAGACTTACCTTCACGTGGTGCACCCTGGGCAACGTATACTCATACGGCAAACGAATTCTATTAACTGGCATTCGACTTCTGACTTCTAACTACCACGACCCCACTGAATGTCATATTCGACTACTTCCACAGTACTCACCTCACGTTTTTCTACATTTTCTACCCTCGTCTTTGAAACACCCTTCTATCCCCCCCCCCGTCTCGACTTTTTCACTTTGTTGTTCCTTCCCCTCTGTGAAGCCAGAAGAAAACTAAAGGGATAATGATGGTCATCAAAACTCACGTCATTTGGTGTAAATATTAGTACAAATAGTTGAATTATAGAGATTCGTGTTATATAGAATGATTTTCAGATTAATATATTTCTAGCCAAATTATCATGAAACAAAAATGGGGGTTGGGAATATATTTCATTGAAGTAACTTGGTTTAGAGAATTCGGGGTTTCGAACCTTCTTTTGTTCGAATTCTCTATTTATCGGTCTTGGGATACTCGAAGCGAGTCGATATGCACACCCAACTTGGAAATTTTTACGGTTTAATGAATAATTTGAATGCGTTGAGAGGAAACCCCCCCCCCCCTCCTGACAAAAAATGTCCAATAGCTACAATCAATTCAGTTTACACAGGAATGGCAGGATATTCTTAAAAGCTTACTCTTTGTCTATTGTTTACATGAAATTGGAAAAAAACATACTTATATATACACATACGTATATGCGTTCTAGAGCATTTACGCGCTATTTTAGATGTCTAGAGCACTGGTAAAATGCCTAAGGACGCTGATGTTATCATAACCAGCCTTAGTGGGCATCTACCGTAAGCTTCAGGAAAGAACGATTCCGCACTAAGTGACGTAGCGTTGTGAATAATTATGATACCAGTCCCCCGCCTCCTTCCCCCCCCCCCCCCCCCCTCCCACTTCCATGGCTTTGAATAAACTTCCGGGAAGGTTAAACCGCTTTCCCACTTTGGGCTGGAAAAAATGGGCAACCAATAGAAGTGAGAGTTGTTTGTGAAGTATTCACAGGCAATACTACAAAGAAACAAAAATTTTATTTATCAGAGTTAAAACAAAACTATTTATAATAGTATTTCAAAATACGCGGTAATTTTTCAAAAATTCCTTACAAAATTTTGTTTGTGTAACATGGGCAAATTATATTTTAATGTCAGAGATGGAGAGAGAGAGAGAGAGTGATATCTTAAATTCCATTTTTTTCCTTATTTATTTTCCATAATATATTTAACGATTAAATATAATGTTGAACCGATTTTCAATAAAACTCTTAAACGTGGCTGTCATTTTAGCCTTTTAACCCGATGTTATCTTTGGTATACATAAAGACTGTTTACTGAGCATTATTAAAAATCGGAGACATTCCAAAAAACTCAGCTTCTGAATAGAAGATAAACCAAACATGAAATTCCTTTTCCGTTCTATGCAGGAAATGTAGAGACGCGTGCAATGCATTCAGGAAAATGGATTGAAGAAATCACTGTGACAGGTTTCTGGAATAATTCATTATTTTAAAATCCATCCGCGCCCTAATATTTTTAACTTAGGTAATGATATTTTATTCTTTCTGCCAGTGAAATACGTCGTAATATCTAATGACAGCAATATTTACTGATTTTATGAGCGTTGAAATCGATATCATTTTGTAAATTGTTTTAGCCGAAATTATCCAAAGCCGATTAACGATATGCGCAAGAAATGCAAACTTAATAGATATTGATAGCTACTTTTGAGAATTTTGAAATTTTTGATATGATAAAAAGTAAATTAATAAATAAAACTATTTAAACTGTGATGTCATTAATTCATGTGCGCATATGTTAAATAATGTTTAAGAACAGCAAATCTCGTATACATTGATGAACTTCCACTAAATGCAATTAAATAATAGATTATGTTTTAATTTAAATTTAATACAAATTATGTAGATTGACCTCTTGAAGCTGAGCGTGTATTTCATGTTCGCTAGGAATCCAACATTCCCTACCAAAAGGTAAATTTTGAGTATTTATTTCACGTGATTTCCACGAAATTTGAAAATTTCCTCATCAATCAAAGATCTTAACCTCGTGAAAAAACACGTTCTTTGCTACTAAGGTGCCTATCTTAGAATAACTTGTGAAATACGAGCTTAGAATGTCCTATGATCGAAAAACACGATACACCATAGCATCGCGACCAAGCACATCAAAATTTAACGGTGAAAATGGAAACAGCTCGCCTCAAGCAATATTGTTGCAACGACCGCAAACCTCGAGAGTATCAAACGTCGAGTGTCCCTGTTGTCGTAGATTTTATTCAGAGCATTCAATAGAAATTCATCTCAAGGTCTGTTCTCCGCGTAAAGCTGAGGAGGAGAGACGCAAAAAAGAGCTGGAACAACACTTGGAAAGGCTAAGTAGAAAACCGTGTAGACCTCCTGGCCACCCATGCTATATATGTGGGGGCCGTTATTTAAGTAGCTCCTGGGACTATCATGAGACCAGGTGTACAGAACGATGGCATGCCTGGAATGAGCTTCTTCCGAAGGATTTAAAACATCACGAGGGAATCTTCAAACCTGACACGTCTGAAAAGGCCATTACAGATGTCTGGGAGAAAGAAAGGAACGCAGGAAAGCCCGAGTTTACTAAACTCGATGCTCTAGATAAGATCTTTCTTGATGCGAGTCTTGTAAACTCTCTGCCTGAATAAAGTTAGTCTCTCTCTCTCTCCCTCCCTTCCACTCTCTCCTACCTCAAACAGCCCCCAGAAATACACATTTAATAATAGCTAAATCGCATTAAGGAGGATTAACGCTCCTTCCATCTTCATTACTATGGTGCTTGGACGTTAAGTTGGCGTGTCATCAGTGGGGTGTGTGTGCGTGTGTGTGTGTGTGTGTGTGTGAAACTTTCCTACAATTTTACAGTGTAATGGAAGTGAATTTTCTCATGTAATGTACTCAGATCACTGAGACGAATTTGTAAGTTGTGCTGCGTGATGGTGAGAATTAGGCGAGAAGGAAGCTAATTTAGGCGAGCTGGAGCGATTAAGCGACAATTAGATCCTCCGTCTGAATGTGTTTTCCTAGGATTTTCCCCTAAAACAGTAATTACTAATGAAGATACCAACTGCTGTTAATATCCCTGGGGCTCCTGGCTCACACGCAAATTCAGATTATGAAATGCTGAGAGAATTTTAGAAACTCAGTCTCATTGGATGGCAATGATTTGGGGAGCTCTTAGCGTGAACCCGAATAAAGCTAATTTCATTTAGACTCCTATTCTTAGTTATAATGAGTAATAAATATACTAGAATAGTTTAATAATAGTCGAGCTTTTTGTGGCAACTCAATGCGCATTTTAGGAAATAACCTCCCTCAGCCTCAAGGAATCTTCTTTAGCCAATGATCAGAGTCCATTGAGAGGATAACCAAATCGAATGCTTATCCAAGTCACATTTGAACTGCTTTCTACCCAGGAGGTATTTTCTACTAACAAGATGTAATTAACTTCTTCAAGTTTAAGGTCACATCTAAGAAATAGTTTTCAATACAGTTTTTGAAGGCCATCAATTTTGTTGAGTTGCCACATTGTAGGAATCAACTGCCCAAAGACAGGCTGTGGAAGGCATGACAAGAGCTGACAGCTCACGACCACAGACAGCTGTTCCAAACGGAGAACACAAATTGTTCCGCAGACCGATGTGTAGGTAGTATACCGCAATGAGGAATTGGGAACGAGTGAATGAGGCGATAACTGTGGGCGTAAAAGTATAAAAAATAGCGTCTGGACATGACAGACAGGGGGTTTTAGTGTTGGGTAACGAAAAATTCGCATTGTGGGTTCGCGGAGGAACAAGTAAAGCCTTATCTTGGTGTATGTGTTCAAAGCTTACTTTGAGTAAATACTCACCCCCCCCCCCCTAGTCTTACCGATAAGAGGCTTTTGTTTCCTTTTGGGTGTTCGAGAGTATTCGATGGAGGACCATCTACTAGTCCTTAAGTGAAAGTGGTGGAAATCGACTATTTTCATGAGCTAGAGTTTGTAATCATTCCCACTTTCATAAGCAATTCAAGTGGATTTAGGTAAATAGGAATGAAAACGCACATCATATTTCTTCATGTTTAAAGGATTGAATTGTAATGACACCCTTCCGTTTATCGGCGTATCATGGATCAATTTTTACCCCTAGTAGCTACGATACCAGGTTGTTGCCAAACATTAGAAAAGTTCATTGCACCTCGACGCTAGTGGCTACGTTTACCGCCTTTTCTCTTTGAGGTTTTGATGGTCTGTCCCAAATGCACTTTATTGAAAAAGGAAAATTATTTGTCCGGCAACCCAAATACCTATGTTGTAATATGGGGTGTGCGATAGACTTACCTCCACGTGGTGCACCCTGGACAACGTATACTCATACGGCAAAAAAGTCTATTAACTGGCAGTTGACTTCTGAATTCAAATTGCCATCACCCCAAAACCGGCAGTTGACTTCTGACTTCAAACTACCATGACCAGATCTATTAACTGGCAGTTGACTTCTCTATGTCATATTCGAAGTCTATAAACCGGCAGTTGACTTCAAACTATCGGCAAAAAAATTCTATTAACCGGCAGTTGACTTCTGACTTCAACGCAAAAAGGTCTATTAACTGGCAGTTGACTTCTCACTTCACAAAAAAGTCTATTAACCGGCAGTTGACTTCTGACTACTCAAACGGCAAAAAAGTCTATAAACCGGCAGTTGACTTCTGACTGAAAAGGTCTATTAACTGGCAGTTGACTTCTGACTTCAAATAAAAGTCTATCAATCGGCAGTTGACTTCTCACTTCAAACTAAAGTCTATTACCTGGCAGTTGACTTCAAACTACCATGAGTAAGTCTATTAACTGGCAGTTGACTTCTGAGTTCAAACTATCATGACCCCAAGTCTATTAATCGGCAGTTGACTTCTGACTTCAATTACCATGATCTATTAACTGGCAGTTGACTTCTCTATGTCATATTCGAAGTCTATAAACCGGCAGTTGACTTCAAACTATCGGCAAAAAAATTCTATTAACCGGCAGTTGACTTCTGACTTCAACGCAAAAAGGTCTATTAACTGGCAGTTGACTTCTCACTTCACAAAAAAGTCTATTAACCGGCAGTTGACTTCTGACTACTCAAACGGCAAAAAAGTCTATAAACCGGCAGTTGACTTCTGACTGAAAATCAAAAAGTCTATTAATCGGCAGTTGACTTCTGACAACACAGTACTCACCTCACCTTTGTTCTACCTTTGTGTCTGTTTAAACTACCATGACCCCACTGTATGTCATATTCGACCCCTTTCACAGTACACACCTCACCTTTTTTCTACCATTGTCTCTCTACAGTATTCACCTCACCTTTGTTCTATCTTTGTGTTTGTCTCTTCCAGTACTCACCTCACCTTTTTTCTACCATTGTCTCTCTACAGTATTCACCTCACCTTTGTTCTATCTTTGTGTTTGTCTCTTCCGGTACTCACCTCACCTTTTTTCTACCTTCGTCTTTGAAGCACTCTTCTTTTCCCTCCCTCTCGACTTTCATCTTGATGTTCCTTCCCCTATGTGAAGCCTGAAGTCAACTAAAGAGGTAATGGTAACCATCAAAACGCCTGCCATTTTAGATAAATAAATAAATGTTGAAATATTCTTTTTTTAAAAAAAATTATGCAATACACTAAGTTTACCCATTCGCATTAGTATACACTGATAAGAAATCGATAATCGAAACCAGGCTTTCTTCCGTAATCTAATACACTATATTACTATGACTGCTGATTAAATCCACACATATAATGGCAATTCAGGTTGTCAATTCTTTTCTTCACCATGAGGATTCCCCGTTGTGGAAAGATTGGAATGTGACACAGAAAAGCATAACTACCAATTAACTCCAATTTCAAAAGTCTGCTCGTGAAATCACTTCAACCATTTCGGAGATTCTTTGAGCGAGGTGATTGCACTTTTTGAATGCTAAGCCATTAAGCTTTTAAGCCATAAAATGTGCAGTTGGCTTCAATTAAATCTATACAATCCACTCACAGATAACCCAGCTCATTTCAGTCAGATGAATAACTCTAAAATGATAATGAAAAAAATTAGCTAGACTCTAAAATTTATGCTTTGTATAGCAATAGCAAACAGCTTCTTTTTTGTCGGAAAGGACAAAGATTTATTTCAAATGGCAGGGTTTTGATAGATATCATTAGCCATTTAGCTGACTTCGGGCTTCACAGAGGGAAAGTTCATCAAAGTAGCAGAAAGTCGAGGGGTGGGGAACAGAAGAGCGATTCACAGATGCAAAAGAGACAGACAGACACAAAGGTAGAGAAAAAGGTAAGGTGAGTACTGTGAAAGGGGTCGAATATGACAACCAGGGGGGTCGTGGTAGTTTGAAGTCAGAAGTCAACTGCCAGTTAATAGACTTTTTTGCCGTATGAGTATACGTTGCCCAGGGTGCACCACGTGGAGGTAAGTCTATCGCACACCCCGAAAGGACAAAGATAAATAGGTCTAATCTAATGCTTCCCGCCTGTAACAAGATATTAATAACTCAAAAGTGACATGATAGGCCATAAAATTGGATCAACTGGAAAGGTATTGCAGAACTTATTTACATTAAATGGCAGGTATTTTGATAGTTACCATAAGCCCTTTAGTTGACTTCAGGCTTCACAGAGAAGAAAGAAATGAAAAAAAGTCGAGAGGGGGAGGGGGGTACAGGAGAGTATTTCAAAGATGTATAAGAGAGAGACACAAAGGTAGAGTGAAAAAGGTGAGGTGA